TTGGAAAATATTGAGATATATTCTGTACACAGTTTATGCTTGTCGTGTTCTCGAAATAGTCGAGACAAACTTGGACACAGTCTAACGGTTTCGCATATGAATCGACGCTTATTCGTCGCACCAAACGTAATGCCTCATTGTACACGCTTGGTCAGGTTTTCTACGGATTTTACTCCCAGTGATAACTCAGCGACTGAACGCCACAGACTGACGTGCAATCATAGTAAAGCTTTTCTTTGCTTTAGCACGCCCGTCGTTTTTCCGATTCAATCGCCTTAGACCGTTTTACTGTAGGTTCGGTGAAAACTTATTCCAAACGACTATTTATGTTGCGTTCAACTGCATTCGAGTAAGCATTTGTGAATTTACGAGCACTGGTTTTCAATGTTTTCATGAATTCTAATGAATTTATATGAATTAACCAGAATGAACTTCTTAACGATCAGAATTATCAATTCATAGAGTTTAGAGAGTCATCCTTTTGGCAACTTAAATTAAATTTGAAAAGCCGTTTGACAGCTGACAAGTTCACATCTACGATGATCAGTGTTTCAGAAACCGGGCATTAGTCGGCCAATAAATCTCGTAGCTAACATGTATGAATTACAAGCTCTTCTTCTTCTTACAAAAACCAAACATATATTCCCGGATACAACAAGATATATATATTCCCGGATACAACAGGATTTACAATTTAGGGTTGAGATATCGAACAGTAGCCGTATATGCATTGCATCCAGTACTTATATAAACATGTCTACAACACTAGGCGGTAAAAAAATCCTCATTGACGCGCGACGTTTTCGCGTGCGACCAGTGATGAGCATCCGCCGGGTCACGCGACTCGATCCCGGGTTCCCGGAATTCAAGCACGCACGCGACACTGCGCTCCGGGAATTGTCTTAATTTAGAAAATGGCACCAGATGAACGTCCACGAGTGATGGATCATTTTACAAAAGGACGCCGGCTTTTAAATTATATTTTATTTGTTTTAGAACAATGATATTTTACCATAGTAATTATTGTTTTTTATGGTACATTATCTGTGAAGAAGGTATAGCAGATCTGAGTGATTTAAATGAATGCTCATTTAGTGTAGAATCATTTAAAAGAATGAAGAAGAATTCAAGATCATAAGAGTAATTCTTAAGATACAAATAATGATAATAAACGTTTGTGTGTATGGTTCTTACTTTTATTTCTAATGTATTATTTTAAATATATTATTCAATAATATTGTTTAAAAAAATCTCATATATATGATTTATAAGCTGCGGACGCCTTATTCAGCAATATAACTGAAAGCTTCACTTTGTAAGCTTTTTGTCAAATGTTAAGCCGTTTGTCTGCTTGGCAAAGACGCTTTAGATTTCATCTCATATGAATTTGTTCGAGAATTTTCTCCATGCGAATAAACATCGAAAGAAAAAGGAGGATTCCCAGAAACTGTATAGAGACTACTAGGAGGCAAAACTTGTGAGAAGTTATTTTTAAATTAATAAACTATCGTTTTTCGAACGTATTCATAATACATTAAAGTTTTTAATTGATTAAAAACCGTGACAAGCTAATGTTTAATGTTTATAAAGACATTAAATTGTTAAAAGTTAACAAATCACACCTTTTTCTTTTCAATTGTCACAAATGTAGACATATATGGGAAAAACTTCAATATGTATCAGTAAAACCTTAATTAAGGAAGAAAGTTAACGTTTATTCTCTGCTTATATTTAATTACGTCGATTAAATAAAATAGTGTCGATTGAGCATGAAAATAAAATGTCTTCACTCAATTAACCGTTATTTCCAATGCATCGTAAAATTGTGCGCTTTTCAGGTAGCTTTTTTATGTTTCGAAAAAGATATTTGAGTGTACGTTAATTTTATTCCGACATTAAACTGGGTCATTAAAAATTTATGGAATCATTAAGGAACACGCGTCTGACGAGTGTTGGTGCAAATTCAATCCCGTAAAAGGGTCGACAGGCAGATAAAATCTGAAACTCAACCCGCGAATAGGGTGACCATTTTTATAATGTACATGTTACAATCAGATATTTTGGTGAGAGCTCAACTACATGGAATTGAATTTAGCTGTGGTAACTGGTAGCTGTGTTTAACTGTGGGATGGCGAAGCAACAGTTTCGACTGTTGCACAATTGGGCAGGTCCACCCGGGTGACCTCGACCTCACAGAAGACCGGCGTGAAGTGGAAGTGTTACACTTTTGCGTTTCGTTTCGCGAGTGAGGTAGCCGAGACCCATTTCGGGGACCCATTTTCGGGGTAAAAGATAATTGGGAAATAAAGAGGTATACGAGTAATTGGAAAATAATACAAGTGTGAATAGGACACACGCTCTGACGGTTCCGTACAATCTTAACACCGAAAATTGTTAATATGTAATTATTTTTAATTTTCTTACTCGTTCTGTATAACCTTGCTTCATAATAATATTCGGAGATATTACGAGGGAGTGTGCTATAATCAAAAATATGTGACTCAAATGGCCTCCTCTTCGTAATGTAAAAAAATAGTAAAGAATAGAATAATTTTAACGTAATCTTAAAGTAAATAATCTAATCCCCATAAAATTACAATCCCGAACTATGTCAGATCAAGGAGTAATTGACAAGGGTAATACCTATGTTAGTTAGTACTTTAATTATTATTTAAACGTTTTAGAGGAACTAAGAAGCAATTGCTCACAACTTTCTCGTAATCAGTTGTGAGCAATTGCTTCTTACTTCTTCTAAAACATTTAAATAATAATTAACGTTTTAACTAACATAGGTATTACACGTATATGATTGGTATATAAGTGTGCGCTAACAATTTAATGCCATGTTGATAGCTGGTATCAAATACATATTACTTTTGTTATCTACTCGGCCAAAATAAAACTGAGCAGTTTTTTTGTCTACTTACGAAATAATTTACTGTTTGATTTTATTTATTGTTATGCCGTACTTTATTACCTAAATGGAAATAAAAGCGGTTAAACGAACTTTGAAAAGCTAATGTTCTCAATACATTAAATTATTTTACGTGTCAAGTAGAAACTTATTTCTTATAAGTCTATAAAACTAACTAAATAACTTCAATGCTAGTTAATTTCTGACTGACGCCTCTAAATGGGGCCGTGAGCCACTTAAGTTCTTTATAACTAATTTACCCTAAGGAGTAAAATGCGAAAGACTGCGTTAAGTCAAATTACTTATAACATGATTAAATGCACTAAAATAGTGCCTCGACTTCGAACAGGTCTTGCATTAGCGCCACTGTAAATATTACTCAGGTTTTAATGTTTGACGGGGCTCAATTAAATCATAGTTTAAGCGCTAATGCAGACAGTTATTAAATAATACGATTGTCTTCAATTTAAAATAAAATCAACTCATAAAAATAAAAAATAATAATATAAAAAATAAATAAATAAAAGAAAAAATAAATAAATAAAAATAATTCATAAAATAAAATATCACATAAAACTCATCACCCCTTACTGGCAACATAAAACGTCAAATATTAAAAATAAAACTTATTTTTAATCTGATGTCTTACTTATTCCGTTCGCGCCATCATTCTGCTTATGCATATGTCGAATTCGTAACTCGAAAGATTGATGCTTCATCATCGAGAAAGTGTGGAAAATCACATGTGCAATTTCCAGAATGAATATAAATGCATAAGTTTGTATATCGCAGTTGGTTTATATAAAAGATAAAAACTCTAAGTAATTTTTATTTGTCTTTTGTTTAGTATTAAATAACGCAAATTGTGTTTTGTCTGATGGATCTTTTCAACTTAATCGGTTGACGTGACATCTTTTGAGTCAGTTTAACAATGAAATATAATATTTCAAGGTGTGTATTCCACAAATTCACATCGGTCGTATGCGACAAATTAAGCCCTAAAAAGCTCGCGTCCAGCATCGGAATAATAACTTCTTTCAGTATTAAGCATCGATTTACTTTGTTCTTAACCACTGTTTCTTTAAGAATTTATTGTATGAGTGCATTTATGTATCAATAAATAAGGCTATTATTACTATGCACGTGACGACTAAATGTACTTTTTGCTATGTAAATAATAAAAAATGTGATTTTCAAATTAGCATTCACTTCAATTCAATCAATCAATCAGATCATATCGATTATGATAATTGTCCATAGCTGTAACCGAATGAAGTTTCGAAAGAAACTTGTACGGAACTCCGTGTAGCGCCTAAACCGTATGCAATTAAGGGCGCAAACACGTATGGGAGAATGTCGGCCGGTTTGTTTGTCTCTTCGAATGCCAGCAGTCAGCCAAGCGCGTAGATTAGGGTCACTACGAGAGATCTAATCAAATAATTGAAGTCATTTGTACTAATGCGTCTTAAGAGTCGAAAATATGCGGACGGGTTCTATGCATGCGGTGTACTTCGAACTGTTTCCTTTCGACCTCGATAAATTTTTATGATCCGCTAAAATCGCACTCCGCTAAATGTTATATATTGACGTGATATTGTACAGTTAATGAATTTTTTTTTCATAAACAATTCAAAATATCGTTCAAATTGTTGAAACTCAGACTTGAAAGATTTTGATTATAGCACCGTTATATTTTGAAGCAAAAGTTCTGTAAAAACTAATTATTGAAAAATTGTTTCAGTTAAACTTAGCTGTCGCTTTGTTAGAAAATAATAACATTTGACAAGTTTCATCTCGTAAATCTCGTTTAATGTTGTTAATTATTGATAACAACAAAAAATGAGAAGTCCTAGCTTCGGCTAGCTGCGACTATTAAAAATATCGCGAAACTCAAATCGGGCTTCACTGGGACAGATATAAAATTTTATCGTTTTCAAAAAAAAGTATGCCCAGTTTGCGCGGGTAAGCGTCACGAAATAGTTCGAACGACTCACCGTATGAGGTTCTGCATCGTTGACTGGCCGACGACCTGGCGGCAAAAACCTAATAGTTGAATTAAAAAAAAACACTCCGACTTCTAAATTCAAAACTCGGGATACGAGAATGGCGCGCTTCGGAAACGTGCACACCGGACGTGCGCTGCGTGCAAAGGTCGAGACTGCTCTGGCGCGCGGCGGCTCGTGTGGCTGCTCTTGAACTTGTGACTTGGGCAGGTTGCATTGGCCTGCAGACCGTTGCATTTTCGTTCGCGAACCGGCCAGGACCCGCGGCGGCAAAGCGGCGCCCCTCGCGCGCCCGCGAACCCAAGCTCGCGGGGGGAGGGGGAGGCCGAGTCCAAATGGCTGAGCATATGGGGAAAGCGCACACAATGTCACGCTCACAATAGCGACAAATTAAAGAAGGCAGCTTTTATTTGCGGACCAATTAAAAGAGTGGCGGAGGCGATTAATGCATTAGACTGAAAGAAAGGAAAGTTATGTGTAAAGTCTTTTTTTTTTATCGTCAAATACGCGCGGCTTCACTGAATCGTTTTGTAATTCATTGGTTTTTTCAATTATATGAAAACGGTTTAAATCGCTATTGATGTCTAAGTGGCGTTAAAAAAAGGATGTTTTATGAATTATGTTGTTTTTTTATATGTTGTTTTTTTATATGAGAAGGTGGCAAACGTAACGTCCGCCACCCATTGAAATTTTCAATCACTCGCATTTTTATCTGTATATGCCCTGAATGACCCAAGGATATTTGCAACACCCATAGAGTTGCAGATGCTTTTCCACATTGTAAAGTCCCCGCCTACCTCACTCACCAGACGGAACGCGGAAGTACAAGAATTCCACTTCACGCCGGTCTTCTGTGGCACGTGGCACTTCCCTGAGCGAGCCTGCCCATTCGTGCAACAGAAGAGACTGTTGCATTGCCCTGCCACTCGATGAAAAGAGAGAAAATCGTACAGCTATTTGCAGGTACTTCTCTGGACAGGTCTAAATTAGTGAACTGGTAATAAGGACTTGAAACAAATCTATACTGTATTAAGATTTTTAATGTTACTAGGGACTCGTGTATCAAATTCAGATTCAAAACATCTTAATTCAAATAAACGCTTGCCCGTTCTTATGAAACGGCGAATTTTACATAATTAATATAAATGTTCGTAAGGTACCACTGGTTCGGAAGGCAGTTTCAGTTGAGAAGAGACCGACATAGTTGGGTATAGTTAACAGTTCCATTGAAAATTGTTATATTAAAGGGATCCAATTAAATAGACACTTAGCTATGCCGCTATTGGTTTCATTCACATAAGAAGTAAATAAATTTTTGAATGGAAATAAATTTTGTCGAACATATTGTCCAAGTTATCGCTTCTGGAGTCGAACCTCACACTGATTTTATTCTGACAGCATTAGCGAGCAAGAAGGTGGGAAATTATTATTTAGAAAATATGCAGGTTTCCTCACGTTTTCCTTCACTGCTGAGCACGTGATAAGTCAGCACTTAAAATTTACAATTAAATTGGTGCCTGCTCCGGGATTTGACTCAGGTTGCTTAAGTATAATGAATTAAAAACGAGCGTCCGGTTACTGCGCAAACAATACATAGAAATGAAACATTCTTGGTTTCCCATTTCATTTTAAATGAATTGTTAGGAACTAATATATTAAAATATCCTTTAAATTTATATGTAAAAAATAAATGATATCATAACATAATTTTATTATTATAATACGTTATAATAAAAACGTTATTATTGAAACGATGCACTGCTTCTTATTATTTGTTGATCTTAAAAATTTACAGGAATTTGCGAAAAATAGTAGTTGAAAAAATTTAGTCAATCAAGAAGAGTTAAACCTAGTGCTAATTACTAACTAAAAAGTCCGAAGCTTGCTAGTAATAGGTCTATTTAAAAGTCTGGACACCAGAACCATGAGAATCCAATTGGATAATTATATTCAAATAAAGAAAATAACACAGATGAATTTTTAGTTGCATGGTTGCTATTTTTGTGAAAATAAAAACCTTGTTAAAACTAGGATCGTAATTTTTGGTACTACATCGTTTAAGGTACCATCAAAAATATTAGCGTTTATCCAGCCAATCGAAAATACGTCTCATCACAAATTGCGCGTGCCATTTGCGCGTTTCGACTGACTCTAGGTGTCGGCTGTACAATGCAATTTTTTTTTATATTTCAGCACATACCTATTCTTTACAAAACGTTAACTAGTCCCAAAGTAAAGTAAAGTAATCGATGCTTATACTATGAGTACTAGGTAACTGATAAGTATACTTAATTGTACTTTTCTTTTGTAAATAAACACATATTATAGATACATAAACAGTTTATCAGTTATAACAGTTAATCGCAGTTCCGATATTTATCCAGTACTGGGGATCGGATCCACACCCTCCGGCGCAAGACACAGGGTCACAATTAACTACAAAATTTCAAAAAAAAATTGTGTAGGGTATGAGTTACTTACTTTATCCTTCATTTTGCATCTTCCGAGTGAGTGACCACGAGTACCTATCTAGTTGGGCTGGCCAGCCCAGCTAGATAAGTACAACACGGCAGTGTTGCGTGGTGAAGCATAAGGCATTATGCTTCACCACGCAACCTTGCCGTCTGTCTCGTTCAAAATAAAAATTTTCTCGCATATACAATTGCGTAACTACTTTCTTTTCCGCGACATACTGGAAAGCAAATTAAACTTCGATATTCAAATCATAATTATAGATAAAAAACATTAGGCGATTTCATAAATGATTAAATATCTTGCTTGACAACAATCGACAAAAACCGTTGCGTTGCTTTAAGCATCAATAACAACTAGACAACAACTAGCATTAACTATGTTGAGCTTGGGAAATTTATCCCGTCACAAACAAATATGGATAGAATACATTAGACAATGGTATGCGACAAAGAACAGTCTCCGTTTAACCGTATTGTAAACTCCCACGGCGGTGTAGTCGCTTGATTGACATGTCACCAAACGTTTTTATCGAATTCACTTGCAAAGACTTACAAATACTACATTTTAAGCGCTTTCGCAGACGCTGTCAAGGAATTGAGCTGTTAAAACGAACGGACGAACGTGACGGATGTTGCGTCGTGTTAGACCGTTGCATATAAATATTTATGGCACACTTCGTGTGTCCATGGTATTTCACCAAACAGGACTTTCCGTGAACTTTAATAGCTTCCCTAGAAATCAAGATTGTTGTAACAATTTTATGTAATGTATCTAATAGTGCCATTGAAATGTTGTTCACTTTTATTTTTCGGTTTATCCTCCGCCTTAAAATTTTATCTGTTTACTTCTTTATTGATGGTAGTACACTGAGTGTTCTTCAAAATCTTATTCTCATTGTTTATCAATTCCGATTGTAGATTTTATTTTTCATTCCTCGAGTGAGAACTCCTTTAGCACACACTTCAAAGCAGTGGAATCCTGTGTTTTAAGGACGTTTTACAAACATAAATTGCACGAGGACAAACACCCAGATAGTTGTCCCGTGTGGGAATCGAACCCACGACCCCCGACGCCGAAGCCAATGCCTTGCTTCTCTTTATCGAACGAAGTCATCGTAATAATTTTATGTTTAAACAGGTTGTAACTTATATTACATTACTGGAAATATAGAAACAGAAAAAGTAACTAAAAAAAGTTTTCACTTTTATCGAGTCGTCGCAATTTTGAGTCACACAATTTTTCAAGTACACATTTTTTTAGAAAGCCAAGAATTTATCCTACGAAAATTCGCTGCGAATGTTGTTGTCGTATCGCTAGTTCGTCTCTCCTGTATCTATTTGCGAATTAGATTCGAATTGTCCTTATTTGTGCTTATTGACAAGGTAATGAGATGTTTGGTTAGATGACAGACGGCCTGATTTACTCGTGATCCATCCTGCATAAATACTTTATACCCCTTTGCCTTTTTGAGATGGCCAGAGGTTGGTAAAGATAACCAAACCTACTAACGTTTATTTGATACCTTTTCCGTTACGGAAAAGTGAAACAAGACTAATGACCAAATACCACAAACATATAATCCATACAATTACTAATCCTGAAATACTTCAAAAAACTGTAATCACTTATCGTGTTACTCAGAAAGAAATAAATTACCAAAAAGTTGCCGATTTTGATCACTTCAGCATGTGATCGTAAACTCTACATAGAGTTCTATACGACAAAAGCCGTTTCTTTTAAGAAAATTAATACTATTATAAAACAGAGCGAGCAAAACAAAGCTTCCATGAAAATTATCAAAATCTAAACCACAAACTAAACGGCATAATAGCAATGGCAAATAAACTGCCAATCTATAGGTCGGGTTTGATTCCATAGACACACGTTGAGCATTAGTCCCGGTTAATTTTTGCATACGCGTCAATACACTTTTTATCGACCTTGAATAATTATCTGATTGGTTTCAGTTGTGATAAAGAAATATGATTATTACGAACGTCTAATACGTAATACGTATGCATAGAGAGTCGTGTACGAGACGCAATAAATTGGTTAATAGCCGGTTTCCAATTCGTTTGTGGAGTAAATCATTCGACGTAACGGTAACGACACCCACGCTTTAGTAAAAGTACCGTATTAACAATTATTAATGCTATATTTTGATATGTAAATTTTGTCAACGATGATTTATTATACTTATAACATATTATTTTAACATATCACAAGTATTAAATAATCAAGTATTAAATTTCGTAACTACCCTACTTATACTTTACTTTTGACGGCATAGTATTGTTAACAAAATATATGTTAATTTTTTGAACCTGTGAATGTGTTAATGATCGGTTTATGGATTTTGTTGTTTTTCTGATCGGAAGGTTAACAACAGACATAACATTAAATAAAATATTGAACCTGAAAATCGTTATTATTGGCTTTTAATCTTCTTATCTTTCTTCTATTTATCAATGATCTGATAGATTGAACCTTAGAAAAAATTTCTTAATTTCAATTCTATGTTAATGATGAATGATGTTCTATGTTACTAACAACCGCTAACATCCGGTCGAAGTGGAAGTCAATGGGGGAGGCCTATGTTCAGCAGTGGACGTCCTACGGCTGATGATGATGATGATGTACTATATATGTAATATTTATGTTGGAAAGGGTTAACTTCATTAAAGATCTTGGTATGACGCTAGATTCAAAGCTGCGCTTTAATACACATAGTGTTAATAATTATTATCAGTAATGCTTTGTTAGTATGTTTGGATTTCTTATGCGTTCTACCAATGACTTTAAGCGTCCTTCGACTTTCCTACTGTTATACAAAACCTTGGTACGTTCTCAATTAGAATTTGCTGTTCCAATA